AATCTGTTGTGTTAATCGTTTGTTGTAAAGATGACAAATGCAATTAAAAAAGGGGGAAGGGAATTTGTATATTCATGAAGATCTTTTGCAATATGTATGTGTTTAGTTGCTTTTTTCAACATATAACTCGTATAATAGTCCAGCAGATAAGACCCAAAAAAGCATGGAATTGTTCAAATTGTGATAGAAGCATGAAATTTGGTACAGGTGTTCATTTTGATATGGAGATTCATATTCCATTGAGACCCACCGCAGATCTGGCCTGTGAAGACTGATTTTTGGTTTAAAATATTACATTTTGGTCAAAAATTATGATAATAACAAATATATTATTTAGAAATGTTTAAATTGTAGTACACTCATGAAATTTAGTACATATACACATTTGAGTGTGACATTTCATATAAAATTTGAACTATCATTGAGCTCACCTTTAAAAGCTATCTTTTGGGGCAAAAACATCAAATTTTGGTTCAAAAATATGAAAATAACAATAAATGATTTACATATGTTTAAATCCTTTTAGAACCATACAATATAGTACAGGTATGCACTTTAATATGTAGATTCATATTTCATTGAGATCAATAGTGGACCTTGTTTGTGATGACTGATTTTTGGTTTTAAAAAATAACATTTTAGTCAAAAAATACAAATACCAGATTTATAACTGCCTTTTGTAATATAGAAGCATGAAATTCGGTACATACATGCATTTCGATGTGGCAGTGCATATGATACTTAAACCTGCATTTGACTCTCCTCTGAAAAGTGGGTTTTGGGGTAAAATGTGGAGAATAAGAAACTAAATGTGTTTTTTTATAATTGTTCAAGTGTTATAAATTTCATTTGTAAACTTCATCTGTAAATGCAGATTTGTATAACAATGCGACCCAGGTAGGGGTGCATTGGTGTGCAAATGAGAGTTCCGTGAATAAATCATTTTGTAAGACAAAAAATAACCTGAATATAATAAGTATAAACACCTAGAAATTCACTAACGTTTTTTTGACACAAAGTCAATATATAAGCATGTTGGAAAATAACATCTTGAATTACTACATGCATATATAGTGAATAATAATAAATATAAACGTATTTAAATGAAAACGCAATCCTGGTTGTTCCAAAAATGATGCCATGCAACAAGAGCATTCATATCAGTTCTACAGTTGATTGCGTCATCTTAGCTTGACACTATTAATATTAGCACCCTCAGTTGCCAGAAGAAACTGCGCGTGCGTGTAGTTCCCATGGGAAACAGGTTTGCGTTGTAGTCTCCATATTATCAGATGGATAAGGAAAACCCAGTAAAACAAGAACTTTAATGCGCTGCAGGACATTAGTTGGTTGGACAGATTTAGTCCAGAAGTATTCCATGTACATGTATATTGTACCATAACAAATAATTTGGTATATTCTCCGAGTACCACCTCATCGATCACCACTCTTTATGTGTTGGTGAGTAAATATTCATTACGTGTTGATTTTTCACAAGTTATATAGTTTATACTAACATTCTGGTAAAATTTGCACAATAGTTATGAAATCATTTTACTTGTAGGTGGAGATACATTTTAAGTTAGATATCACTACATAACTGGAGAGTAAAATGGAACTAGAATCCTGTCCAAGTACAAGTAGCCAGCGAAATAGTCAAGATAGCTCCATCCAGTGGCATGTATGTGTCTTGTGCCAAAAAAAAAAGTTAATTTGTCAGTCTAACCGCAAAAATAAGCAAGGTTCAGGATACCATACACTGTCTGAGAATTTGTCTGGTTTTCATAAACTAGGAAATGTACCTATGAACATTAATATAGCTAAACTTGATGAAGGTCAAGGAATTGAGGCTACCTTGAGAAGAAATGATGCAAAATGGCACAAGTCATGCTACAATAATTGTAGCACCCTCAAGCTCCAAAGAGCACAAAAACGAAAATTAAGTGAAAGTGTTGTAACACATGCAAGCCCTGTAAAAACCCGTGCCAGCATGGGATCATGGGTTTCTAGCGAAAATAGGGATACAACAGTGTGTTTTTTCTGTGACGAACCTGGAGGATCCCTACACCGAGCATGTACCCTTGACTTGGACCACAAGGTAAAATGGTGTGCCACAGAATTAGGAGACAGACAGTTATTGGCTAAATTAGCTGCTGGTGACATGCATGCATTAGATGCCAACTACCATTTGAAATGTCTGGTGGCTTTGTACACCCGAGCTAGGCGCACTTGCAAGCAAGCCAAGTGCAATACAAAGCAAACGTTAATGGAAAGTATTGCTTTAGCTGAGATAGCGTCATACATTGAAGAAACTAGGACTGATGGGGAAGACACCACTTGCATATTCAGGTTGTCAGACTTGGCGAAACTGTATACTTCGAGATTGGAACAGAATGGGGCTTATGTTCCTAACAGAGTTCACTCTTCAAGACTGAAAGAGCGACTGCTTTCTCAAATCTCCGATCTTAGAGCATATAATGAAGGTAGGGAAGTCATGCTTGCTTTTGAAGGAGACATTGGCACAGCTTTGCAATTCGCGCATCTGAACAGATCTGACACAGAAGCCATGTATTTATCAAAGGCTGCTACTATTGTGAGGCGGGATACTCAAGAAACAGAAATGCTTTGATGGCTCATTTTACCCTGAGTGTCAACATAATGCAGTATCTGACACATTACTTGCTCTTATAAATATGATATTGAAAGGACCTGACATACACAATCAGATAGGCAACGAGAAAGTTGATGCGGCTTTAATATTGTCTCAACTAATCATTTTCAATGCTGTTATTCGAGTGAGATCTCATAGTACACAGACCAGGCATCCTGCTGACAAGGAAATTCCTCTAGCCATTTATCTTGCATTACTGGTTCATGCTGAAAC